CCTCCTCCTCCTCCTCCTCCTCCTCCTCCTCCTCCTCCTCCTCCTCCTCCTCCTCCTCCTCCTCCTCCTCCTCCTCCTCTCTCCTCCTCCTCCTCCTCCTCCTCCTCCTCCTCCTCCTCCCTCCTCTCCTCCTCCTCCTCCTCCTCCTCCTCCTCCTCCTCCTCCTCCTCCTCCTCGTCCGCGAGCGCATCGGAGCGAGCCCGAGGACGGGCCCGCTCGAGATCAATCGCCCGTCCACCTGGCCGCCAGCCGCGGCCCTCAGGGCACGAACACCCAGTACAAGAGGTCGAAATAGAAAACCCGATACTTCTCACAACCAAAAGAACAAAAATCCAAAAATCAATTATCCAGACAATCTCCAGACATCACCAGTACTCAGAAAACCAATACTGCGAGGCCGCTCAGGCACGCGACCCCCTGGGAATATGAAAACCCCAACAACCCCCTCAGCGGCCAAGCTGGTGCTGACACCACCAACCACCAGAAGAGAGCTTTCGCTTATCCGCTGCAACAAAAGGGGCGCGGCCCAAAAAAAAAGCCGTTACGTACGCGATCGCGTAGGTAAATGCACGGCCCCTACACCCCTTCAGCAGCGAAGTGCGCCGACATCGCCAGCCACCAGAAGAGAGCTGTCGCCCATCCGCTGAAACGAAGGGGGCGCGGCCAAAAAAAGGAAGCAGCTCAGGTGCTTGACCTCGCGCGAATATGAAAGGGCCCCAGCGCCCCCTCAGCGGCCAAGCGGGCTGACACCTTCAGCCCGCCAAGAGAGTGCTCATGCACATCCGCTGCAAAGAAGGGGGCGTGGCCATCTAAGAAAAAACACTCCATCAGCTTGCCGAACTGGCCTCAACGGGCTTCAGCACAGCTCCCGAAACTGGGTGCAGACCATCGAGGAGACGCCCCAGCTTCCTTCTGTTCTGCTTGCTGCAGGCAGCGGCGGCACACAACCGCTGGCCTCCAACACAACGCGCCAATAGACCTGGCGAGCCCGACGAGGCTTCGCCGAGGAAAAAAAACAATGAAAAAGACTTCGCCACGCCGCGCACGGGCCCGCGTTGAAAAGACAGTGCGAGCTCTTCTGCTCGAACACGCCCTCCACAATGGTAGGTCTTTTCCCCGGCATTCGATCAGTTCCCGGCAATGCATGGGCCACCGCCTCGAACTGCCCAGTAGGGATCTCTGTCTTACCAACGTAGTCGACCTGGGCTCGCCACTAGAAGCGCCCGAGCTCCGTCGGCACGCACGTGGTCGACTGAAGTTTGGCCCTTACCCTCTGTCCTCGCGCGCCCTCGCGCATCGCATCTAGCCGCCCTCGAGCCCCACGAAGCGATGGCCCTGCATGGCCAACTGCACTGGCGCCCCAAACTCCCGCGGCTTCGGTAATTGACCTGGGTCCTTCCAAGCCCCTTCCGTAACCATATGTTGCATGGCATGGGAGAAGTACTGGTTGACCTTCTGGCGGTGCCCAAACTCCGCCTGGTTGATGTCCGCTAAGACTCTCGACGCCCGATGTTTGAGCGCCCCTTTCGCTGCGCAGTAATATGCCCACCAATTGCCATGCCGCCATATATGATGAAAACCATTCGCAGGCACTCGTTGACGTCCTCATGCGCTGGCGCCCAAGCACCTGCAGGCGGTACCTCCTTCACCGCACCGAATATCTTCCTCCAACTATGGGCGCCTCTACCCGCCGAGGCCTCTGACTGAGCCGCCCAGCTGTTCGCCCCCCGCAATAGACCAGAAAAATCGGACGCGACCAATCTCACGAGCGGGTACATCCTCAGCCCTTGAAACATCACATATCTCCCAGCTCGGCCAACTGTCTGTCGCGCCCCCGGGAGCGGCCCACACGCCGCCCGCAGCGGCAAACCATGTTCAGAGACTTGCACCGCTGACCATCCACATCTGCATAATCCAGGAATAGAAGACTCATGCCCAGATCCATCAGTGAAGAGAGCACCCGGCCATCCCGACGGGCCTGACGCCAGTCACCCCAGAGGAAGACTTGCGCTTGAGTTGTGGGGGGGTCAGCAGGCGGCGGCAGCGTAGGTAGTCCCACCGATAGCTCCAGCGTCTCGTAGTCAGGCTTGTCCAGGCCATTATGGTACCCTTTGTCCGCGAGCCACTACTGCACTTCTATTAACTTCTCAGGCAGCTCAAATCCTTCGCTCTGGCCGGCCCTATTCACAACCCCAGGGCGCACGTGACAGCGACGCCCTGGCGCATCAAAGGGCCCCTGACACACGCAACAAGATTCTTCTCGAGCAAGGCCCATGGGATACGTCTGCTGCTGCGTCCACGGCGTACCACTCCAGAGCGCCCGAATACAGCCAGCTCGGCGAGCCTTGCGAACCTCCGCCTTGGGTCCTGCCACAACAGCCATCATGGCCCTACGCCAAAATGGCGCGTCAAAGCTGGCGCCGACGTTGCGGTGGCATAATATCTTCTCGTGCTCCCATCGTTCGAAGCCCACTCGAAGTAGCCTCTTCACCGCCTACGG